GGTGCAGCCTTCTAAACTCCAGTACAATTTAGTTTAGGTAGCAAAAGACACAGAAATAAACCCTCCCTGCCTCAGTTTCCATTACAGCTCTGAAACATTTTCTGGGCTTAAGTCAGACTGTCTAGGGTCAATAGCACCTGGCACCTGCAGCTCATGTCCTTTGAGGTCTGGATTTCCCCTCCATGTCAGCTTCCTACTTCCTTTGCCTTCAGCTGATCTCACATCCTCCCATGTTCTACAATCAGGCTGTGCAATCTCTGGTTCAGTGAAAGCAGCAAAAATAGCTAGTGATGGCAAGACGCAACAGCTGGCCTCTCCTGTCAGCTCACCCTCCTTGGGCATCTTGGGGTATAATTCACATCCGCACCAGGTCCCCTGCACAACAGCAAGCGTGTGTAGACAGCTCAAAGGGAATCCAACTTGCATGTCCCCCCTGGGTGGAGCCAACTACATCTAATTCACAAAAGTGGTTTTGCACTCCAGCACTCCGTGCATGAAGAGGCGGCATTGGTGCCATGCCCAAGTACAGCTCAGGCCAGCACCTCCACAGCCTAGTTCTGATCTGACAATCCCTGCACGAGACTACTCAGATTCGCTCAGTCCTTGCGAGGTCAGTCCCTCAGGGAAGGAGCATGCCTGGCTGAGCTTGCCTTGAGTTTCTCCTGTCTTCAAGGGCATCCCTGAACAATCCCCTAAACCTCTTTTGGGAGAAGCTTTTTCACAACAGTAAAATTAGGCTGTAATGTAATGTAATGTAATGCATGAGAAACCACAGGATACAAGGCATGAGTTCCTAGGGAAGGCACTCCACTCCACTCACTCACTGTCATGCTGTATTTCAACAGGAGATGCTAAGAGCAGGACTTTTCTGCCCACTTCTAGGGGTTCAGACCAAATTTAGTGAGAAACTGAGCAAGATGCGACTTCCACACTTGGCTTCCAAAGATGAAGCCATCAGACCTCCGGGCTGCATTCGTCACAACCTTCAAGCTGAGGTCACAGCTTTGAGGTCACTCCTGATTTCATTGCAAGTCCTGTAGCTCCCCTTGGTTTTTCATAAAATGCCAAGTCCTGGAATCCCACAGCTACTGGAGTGCCTCATGTTTTGTTTAAAGCAGAATTTGCCAAAGTTTGGGGAAAGGCCCTTAGCACGCACATGTAAGCATACACACAGGCAATGTTCCCAGCAGGGGCTTGCGTGTGTGTGTGTGTGTACATAACGTTCCTAGCAGGGGCACGTGCAGCCAGCAGGGTCACTCTGCTTCAGCCACTGCATCCCCCACTACTGATTGCTACGAGGGAGGGAAGCAGTGGCGGGAGCTTAAGCAAGGGGAGATGCAAGACTGCCCGACTTTCCCATGGTAGAGCATAAACCCATGTGGCTTGGTTAACTCTGCTTTAAATTAAAATTGACCCCCAAGTTCCTTGTGTGGGGTCTGTGAAAGAGGCAGTGTAGCGAATGCATCTCATTAGACTTCACCCTTATACTCCTGCTCATGCAACAAATGTTTCCTTGAGTTTCTTTTAAAAGGCCACCTCCCCCATCCCCCCCCCAAAAAGAGGGGGGAAAAAGTTAATGGTGCAAAAAATAAAACCTTCACAGTATAAGCACTTACTAAATCCTGGTGCTGAACAAAAGTCTGCATGCAATAAGTTGACTCCTGTGTGCTGGGAGAGAGAAGCCAGGGCTACAAGAGACCACTCAAAAGGAACTCACTGAGATGTTGCTTTCCCGGAAGGCCACATGGCACCCCTTAGTGCTTTAGGTGCTCAGAAACGCAATGAAAAAGTGCTTGAGGTTACAGAAGGCCTGTGACCACACTAAGAGGGCAAAGCCCACAAAGAGAGGAGAGAAGAGGGGACGTATGTTCCTCTCATCCCCTCAGCAGTTGCCTGGACCAGAATAGAATTGATTTTCCAGGAAGGACCTGATTTTTGGAAAAGATGCTATGTAGCTCACCCTCTGCAGCAGAGCAGCCACGACTAGTCACAGCATGACCAGAGAATGCCAGTGGAAGAGATGTGTGGCTGGTTTTCTGTGTATGGGATGCTTTGGATTCATTCTAAAACACTTGGACTTGCTGGACATATATTTAACGCTTTAAAGATGGCACCTCTGCCTGGTCCATCCACTTCTGCGTTCCAGTGCAAGACTTAGCAACAATTTTATCAGGAACATCACACTCCAGAAAGTATTTTTTTGAAGTTCTGGCTCCTGGAATCAAAGGATTACATTTTTTTTCCCTTGAGTAAGCACGCAGCCCCAGTGTCTGATGCAAAAACCTTGAACACACAGAGCTTAAAGACTCCAGAGCTTCAAGGCAAGTAACACCATCTTTTAAAATCTGGCTTAAGATTCATGAATGTCCAGGGTCTAGGGCCTAATGATTTTTTTTTAAATGCTTGACACCTCTTGCTCTGTGACATGATGCTTCTGATGAACTAAACACCACAGCTGCTTACGCAGCAGTCAAGGCTGCTTGAGAACCTGAACATGAAAGCAATGCAGTGTTAAAACAATGCTTTCCCACCCTCTGGCCGAGTCCTGCTGGCAAGTGAAATGCAGAAACAGGCTACCCAGCCAGTGTGAGGTGATGTCTGGAGTCCTGGTCTGTACTACACAAATTAACATTCATGGAACTGATCTCGGGTCTGTCAACCCTTGTTTAAGGCTCCACCATCCATAAGCCAAAAAATAGAGAATGGCATCACAAAAATTAGCTAGTTCATCCAGTGTAAGCAGAGCTCAAGACAAGCGGAGTGCAAATAGCTCTCCAAGCTCTGTCTTATAGCATACTGATCCCTCTTCAGTTGGACTGCTAGGTGGGCTTCCACCTCTATCAAGAGAGTCTTGTCAACAGTAAAGAACCAGGCATGCTTACCCAAATGGCATTACTGGAAATGGAGTGGAAGGTGACAACTGCTTGGTTAGAGGGCAAAAAGAAAGTGATAGAAGGACAAAAACAGGGAACTGAGTTTCCATGACTTTTTAGGCTAGCTCCATTTGACACCACTCTGGAACACCTAGAGCTTGGCATGACAGTCAAGCTGCCGGTGGTGGAAGAAAGAAGCATCCTTTAAGTTTCAATGGACTGATAAAGATAGAGCAGACCTGAAGACTGACTTTCCCACTTCCTGCTCAAAAAACAGAGATAGGAGGAGGATTTTATAATCATGTTAAGCCTCATTTACCCAGCAATAGGAACCATGATAACTAAACTAGTTCATTCGCAATGTTAGAGCAATTAGTTGATTTCAGTGCAAGTCTGTGCTGGTGACACTTATTTTGAAGTAAAGCAAGCTATAAGACATTTTGTTTCATATATAGTTTCAAGATGGCTTTCCTACAGCACCATGCCTTGGTTAAGCCATGGTCTTAATTTGTTAAAGAAAAGAGAGGCCTCACAGCTCAAGGAAATGTCCCCTTTGGTGACACCTGTGCAAGCTTCTTGCTCTCAGTTGCCTAAACAGTTGTAAGATGAATAAAAAAAGTGAACCCAAACTCAATTCCTCCTATCAGGCTGCAGGTGCTTGTCTATGCTATTAATCCATAGTATTAATATACTAATGAGATCCCTTCTTGATGACCTTGGTTTCTGTCCTTCCTCCTCCCCACCCCATCCCAGGTTATGCACATGTTGCCTCACTGTACACATCAAGACTGAACATTTTGGGGGAAAACCTCTAACACCCCCATGTCCTATTTCAGCCCAACAGAGCTCTGATTCGTACTGGGAGCCTCACATAGTGCAAACGAACTTCTTGAGTTTTGATTTAATGTCTCCCAGTAAGACCAGCATGCAAGCCTCAGACATTTAGCATTTTGTCCAAACACCACCACCACCATCATCTTTCCTCCCCAGAGAACCTTTTAGACCTTACTCGTGCAATGAAGAAAGCCACCAACCATTTCACAGGATTTTTCTCTGGAACGTTTTTGCTGGTCACCTTCATACTTCCACAAGCAGCTGGGAACTAGTCTTTGAACAGTGCTCGGAGCCCAACTCCAGAGTTTGAGAGTTCCAGCTCTGAGATTATACAGCTAAATTTGTACCACTCATTGATGTTGTTAGGAAGTCCTAAGTACCCTTTTTTCAAAATCTTCTCAATTAAACAGTGAAGTCCACCAGGTCTTACAAGTTGTGAAGGATTTTTTTTTTTTTTGCTGTTTAAAGCTCACCTGCTAAAAGTATCAGGTACTAAAACAAAAAAACCCCTCAGAATATAACATCGGATGATTCACAGGAACTGGGCTTCAGAAACCACAAACTATTTATTAAGTAAATGATGCCATTTCTGGGGGGTGGAGGGGTCTTCCTTTCTCTTAACGAAACTACTTTATGGTTGCACATCTTTTATACAGAACCCTGGTGAGCTGGTGCTCTTTTGAGCCCAGGTTATACTCCTTTGCTCCTAAACTGTATTTCTCTTCCTCCCTGGTAGTTCAAATACTTGCAAGTGGCCATCCTATCCCCTCTTCTACCCTCTGTTAGCTTCAGACATTAGTTCTTCCAATCCATCCTCATAGCTTCAAGCAATTGCCAGGGTTCAGTATCCCAAAGCATCAAAAAAGTTATATATGGCTTTCCAAGTAAAAATATGATGCTTCAGTTTCCTAATACCTAAACAGCAATTCTGGTCTCACCAAGGTATGGTGCTCTGAATTCAAGATGCAATCACCTTAGTTCAAGTGCAGACTGGAATCTAGCTAACCAGCATGGATCCAGAGTAAGTTGGGAGACACTTTTTCTGCAACTTATGCACAATGAGCAAAATCGAAGCAGTTTGCACCCAAACATGCATTTTATCAGGCTAATTATAAATTACTACCCATTCTATGCTCTTACCATTGTTCAAATGCAAACCACCAAAGGAACATTAAAAAAACCCTGCAAATTCTGCTCGCTGAAAGTTTAAAGCAGCATAGAATCTGCTGCCATCATTTTTAACACAAGCACAACAGGTGGGAAAGAGAAGGGAAGCATTAAAAGAGCAGGCTGTGTCTGTCTCACACAGTTTATTTAACAATAGGTAATAAGAAATCAATTTTAACAGTCTATACAGTGATCGAAAGTTCATATTTATAAGTAATCAATTTTAATTGCATGATTTACAACATTTGAGGGTTTTTTGCTTTCTATTTTCAAGTTTTACAGAAAATGGAAGAGGGTGGGAGAGGGAAGGAGAGAAAGCAAGCGTAAAGAAGAAACCCCAGGGACTTCTCAGGTTAAAATCATCCCCTCGGAATTGTTTCTTGCCCTCTTTTTTATTTTTTCTTTTGTTAGATGTAAAAATAACGAAAAAAATTCTTTCAAGAAAACAGAAACCACAATATATATACTACATCCATTTGGCAGCTGCCCCTGTGTATTTGCAAAAAACATTGTCTTCTCTCTACATGTACAAATTATTAATACTTGAAGTTTTTTTTTTTTTAAGCTCAGACTCTTGTATAGAAAATTCTTGGAGGACAAAAGTAGACTTCAGGAGGGGATTGGGTTATTTAATATTTTTACATTTTCCCAAAGAATTGACATATTTCCAACCAAAGAGGAAAAAATTGGTATTTATTTTTTAATATATATTTATATATATGCAATGTATTTTTAAAGCAACATTAACCCCTTTTGTCCTCCGGTTTTAGGAAATGCTCTCCTGTGTTTTGTTTTTTCTTTTTTTTTGCAGTGACATGAGGAAAAAACCAGAATAGGGAAAATGTTTACCTTCTGCCTCAGTAAATAATAACTATCAATATTACATATTTTCATTAATTTAAAAAAAAATAAAACCTATTGGAGGCATGAGAAAGGGACTATTGAGCACCCTTTCCCCCTTACCTCTCCAACGCACGCACGCGAGGAAAAACAAGAAAAAAAAGGACTGGTTATGATTCCAGCCATAACAAAAATATATTCTTTGTATTCTATCGTCCCTCAGGTTCATTGTTGGTTTGTTTTTAAAACCACAAACTACTGCTGCGGAGTTCGGATGTGTTCCAGGGAAAAATGTTGTATTAGCTAAGAAAGATTCAAAAAAATTTGTCTTCAGTACAAAAAGTCTTGAGAAAATAAGGTTTTTTTTTTTGTTTTTGTTTTTTTTGCTCCCAAAATGCTACAATGTGTCTAGTGTATGTCTAGTGTACTCTGTGAAAGGTTTGAATTCAAGTCTGAGTTATCTGAGCTGAGCCCCAGTTCCGTGGCGCTTGTACCATGGAGTCCTGCCATGCCTGGATTACTAGCGAGCTGAGAAAGCATTGCACTCTGGTCCGGGCTGGCAAAGTGCCCTTGATCCATGGGGTTACCCTGGGCAGCTACCAGTCCTGGATGTGGGGAGCTGGTTTGCGGGGAGACGTGGTGTGGAGAAGGCTGAGGTTGCATCCGAGGGGAAGGGCTGGAATGCGGGGGCTGGGACTGAGGTCGTGGTGAAGGTACAGGCTGCGGAGAACGCACTTGATTGGTGAGTGATGAAGGGATCTGCTGGCCCTGTAAGTGTGGGGACTGGGCCTGACTGGGAAGCATGTGCTGCTGGGGGCTCATGGGGTTGGGCTGAGCTGGAGACCCCATCTGCTGCTGAAGTAGCCTCTGCTGGAAAGCCTGCTGCAAACTGGCTCCTGTCTCCGCACTCATTGCCTGTGGAAGCTGGCTCATTTGTCCCATATTTCCTTGCTGCATCTGCTGCATGTGATGCTGCATCCGTTGCTGCTGTTGCTGCTGCTGTTGCTGAGGGTACCCAACTCCCTGGGGCTGCTGAAACTGATTATGGTTGGCCATCCCAGGACCCAGCCCTGGTCCTGCACCTTGCTGCTGCTGCTGCTGCTGGTGGCGCTGCTGCTCGATCATCTGCCGTCTCATTAAAAGATCCCGGAATTGTGGATTCATCCCCGAATGGTTCATGTTCATCGGCTGCGTCTGAGGGTTCATCCCGCCCATGGCTTGCTGAGGCTGTTGCTGCTGTGGTTGCTGCGGCATGGTGGGCCTCTGGACGCCTGCTTGCATGGGGTTCATGTTCTGCATGGCTGAGTTTGGGTGCACCCCTGCTTGCTGCCCTTGCATGGCCTGCTGTGGCTGAAGCCCAGGCTGTCCGGGCGGCATTCCAGGCTGCCCCGGCATACCTTGCGGGTTCTGAGATCCTGCATACTTAGCTGCCCGCTGTTTGATGAATGCAGCCAGTAGCTGAGGATTGGAGTGAAGGATGTTAAGCACCTGCTGCTGCTGCATGGGGGAGCTGGGAGACCTGAGAGTCCGCAGTAAGTTTTGTAACGCTGCCTGGGGCAGAGATCCTTGTTTTGGCGGAGCTGTACCAGGTACCTGGCCCATCCCAGGCTGAGGTGCCATGTTCATAGGCTGCCCTGGCTGGGCTACTGACATCATGGATGGCCTCTGCATTCCTGCCTGCAGCTGCTGAGGTTGGGGCAACCCTCCCTGGGCCCATGGTGGCTGCTGCTGGATGCCTGCTGGTCCCATGGCTTGATCTACGTGACCACCAGGACCTCTGGTCATCTGGGGAGGGTTCATCCCCATGGGTGGCATTGGATTCATCTGGGGCATTGGGTGCTGAATTGGCCTTTGGAAAATCTGAACATGTGCCATCTGACGCTGAGTTTCTGCTGCCCGCTGGATTTGCATGGCCATTTCCACTGCAGCTGGAGGAGGACCTTGAACTGGTGGCTGAGCAGTCTGTGGTGGAGTTGGAGGAGTTCCCTGGCCACCTGCTTTGCCCTGGGACACCGCACCAGGAGGCTGATTTCTTGGTATAGTGTAGGGCGGCATGTTATTGGGAGGTGCAGGCTGGGGCTGCGTGGCAGGTTGGGGTGGTGGCTGAGGCTGTGGGGTCTGAGGTGTTGGGGGCTGCTGGCCTGTTGGAGTTGTTGGCGTGGCTGGTGTTGGTGAGGGCAATCCTTGCTGCTGACCTACCACGCCAGTCCTCTGCATGCTTGCCATCCTCCTTCGGAGCATCTGGGCCTGCTGCAGGCGGTGCTGAAGCTGCTGTTGACGGAGCTTGTGTTTAATGTTGAGGCAGAAGGGCACGGGACACTTGTTCTCCTGGCAGTGCTTTGCATGGTAGCAGCAAAGAGCGATGAGCTGTTTGCAAATAGGACACCCTCCATTGGTTTTGCGCTTGCAGCCTTTGGTATGCTGGACAACCCGTTTCATTTTCTGACAGGACGGCAGTGAGCAGTTGGCATTACGACACTGACAGGCATGGACCAGGGACTGAATGCAGCGCTGGATGCTCAGGCGGCGGGAGTCACCGGGGCTCTGGGTGGTTGCAGTCTGCTGGTTGTTACTCTCATCATCTAGGCCCAGGCCCAATTTCTCCATCTTGTGGTCATGGTTTTTAGTGTTATAGCAGGTGATGCACAGGTCATAATCCTGAAAAAGCAAAATGTTGGGAAAAATTAAGCAGCTGTCCATTTAGCCTAGCTCAACAAACACACATGGTGTCACTGCAGCAGCAAGGGACCCCCAACTAGTCCAGATGAACTGCTGGAAAGAAATCCAACCTTTTATAGTAGCCCCTCTGTGCCCAGCTACTGACAGAGGTGAGTACAAATTCTAAACAGTGAAACACGTGGAGGCAGGACAGCAATAAACACAGAAATAGACAAAGTTTGACAATCCTGTTTACCCGTAGGCAGTAAAAATTTCACCTGACCAGTAGGACAAATGGAAACACAGTTTCCTTCCCCACAGAGAAGGGAGAGGGGAAGTCAAGTGGCCAGTCATCAGCTTGCTCTTTTTCGAAAGAGGGGCAGGAGAAAATAATAGCACATCTGCCCCCTCTTTAAAAGGGATTAGAGGAAAGGGAGCAAACAGAAGAATGTGGCCACATGGTGAACAGATGGGAGAGAAGAGTGGCTCAAATTTTGTAGAAGGTAATCACTGATTTTAGGGGGAAAAAGTCTTCAAAATGCACTAGGTGGAAGAGAACCTAGACTTTGTGCACGTGGGAGGGGGAGCATCGCATTCTACTTGCAGGCTCTCAGAGCTGAATCTGGGGCAGAGCTGATTTAATGTTGGAGTAGTAAAGATTGAAATTACAGGGCTTGGGTTGAGGCAACTGTGGCTTCTAAGTACAGCTACTACTCCCTCAAGCTAGCAGACAATCCTCAGACAAACAGGATTGAGATGGTCTTTAAAAGTTCCTTAATTCTTTCTATTACCAGTCTCCACTAGAATGCAGAGTAGCAGTATTACAGGCAGGTGGAGGAAATAGATGTAATCTATGTCTTAACTTAAAGAACAAAAAGCTTGACAGCAACTTTTAAAACAAACAAGATGATGGCTTTGACAGCATGTTCCTATGCACAGCGGAAAGGCAAAGCAACAGAGACCTCCACGCAAGTCATTATTGAAGAACCCCAGTTATCAAGCCTCAATTTTACATTTCTGAACTCTGGAATGCCTTTTAAAAAAAAAAAAAAAAAAAAAAAAAAAAAAAAAA